TCAAAAGTTTTTTTATTTATAAATACAGACTAAACAAATACTTTTTGTAATAATTTTAATTTAATTCGTGGTTTTTTCCCCAGCCAAATGTATTTTGTTGTTTATTTATTTAAGTCTTCAAAAAAAAAATTCCCTATATTTATTGGTACTACTTGAAATAGAAACAGTATTCTTGATAGTATATTCATTTTAATGGAAGCTATCCTTCCGATAAGTGACAGTTGTAATTTTTTCCAGTTTTCCAGATCCTTTTTTATTTGTTATATTATTTTGCTATAGTTGTCTTCTTTAAATGATAAACATTTTGCTGATAACCAAATTCCCAGATATTTTACCTTCTTGGTCACTTGCATGCCCATTCTTTCTTCCAATTCTCTTTCCTATTTTTTAATAAGATTTTTTGTTATTATCTTTGTTTTGTTCTTATTAATTTTAAGTCCTACTACTTTGCCGAATTCTTCTATTTTTTGAACTAATTTGGGTCCTGTTTCTAGTGGTTCTTCTAGAATGAATACCAAATCGTCCTCATTGGTAATTCATTCAGTCTCAATCACCTGATGCCTATTATCTTCTATATCTTTATATTTTCCAACTTTCTTTAAATTTCTTAATGAAACCGTTTGAATTTGTTCTATAGTTCCTCTAATCCCTATATGGTACTCTTGTTCTCCTTGTAGTTTACAGGTTTTTTTCCATTTTTAAAGTTCGTAAAGTTTATAAAGTTGTAGGGTTTTTATAATCACCAGTTTAGTATAGTCACATATCCAATCCATCGCAAAACATATCATATATCACAGTCAATGTCCATTTAAGTATAAATCCGGAGTTTCTTTTTCTTTTTTCCCATCTGTCTGTCTTCTCCTCCCTGCACTGTCACTGGTTATTAGATAAATTCAGCTGCTCCGATCTCTTAGTCACCACTGTCTTTGGGGCGGAAATCCTGCCTGACTCTTTAGAGTCTCAATTCTACAGCTACACTGTTAGACAATAAATTTTTACTGCACTTTAGAGATATCTTCTCTCATCAATTACGTTGTGTTGCCTTTCTATATTCTCTTCCTGCTCTGCAGCTGTCACAATTCTGAATCGGCCAAGATGGCTGATTTCTTTTCTGCCAGTCTCAAAGGGGTTCTCCTGTCCATTTGGAAGATCGCTCTTCTCTCCGACATCCTCCAAGTTTCCCCTCTGTCCTGTTGATCCCACTGGGATTAACTGTGCCCTTTTTAGGGCCTCCCAACAGAAAAATTTAGGCAATGGGAACAGAGCCCCATTCCCTTGCTCCACTCCACAGTGACATCACCGCCAGAAGTCCTGAGAGGACTTTTTAATGAGATGACTTCGTTGTTCCAAAATATTATGGATTCAATTCAGGGGTGAAATCCAGCAGGTTCTGGAGAACCAGTAGTAGAAATTTTGAGTAGTTCAGAGAACTGGCAAATACCACCTCTGGCCAGTCCCAGAGTAGGGTGGGAGTGGAGATTTTGCAATATCCTTCCCCCAGGAGTGGGGAGGGAATGGAGATTTTGCAGTATCCTTCCCCTGCCATGCCCATCAAGCCACACCCACCAAGCCACGCCCACAGAACCAGTAGTAAAAAAATTTGAATTTCACCACTGATTCAATTGATGATATAGGTGAGAAAATGGAAAACATTCTGCAAAGAACAATGAACAAAGATCAAACTGCCCATGAACTGGTGAAAGCAACAGAAAGTCTAGATGAAATGGATTACTCAAGCCAGCAAACTGAACAGGAACAGGGAAAAATATGGATCAGAAAAACTAGCAAATGAAGCAACAGCTTGACAAAGAGGAAGATAAATGGCAAGCAAAAGGAGCGAAGAGAACAGATGGATTGGTCACATCAACAAATAAATCAAGGACTAAAGCAAAAAATAAGTCTGACAAACCAGCTGATGAAGGGAGAAAGACCGAAGAAAATAAAACAGACAAATAGACAACTGGAGAGACAGGAAGATACCTTTTTGATAAGGAGATTAGGACACGGGCGGACATCTGGGAGAATTGGCAGTGTAAGGTTGTACTGGGAGAAAGTTTTAGATCAAACAAGAAAGATATAGATGAAGCTAGAGATGAAGATGAGGAGTGTGGGTGGCGAATTAAAAAATGGATAAGAATTGAAGTACTAAAGAGGAGAAGAGATGATGGATACGAAGAATTGTCCTTTAAATATTAAAGTAGCCTGATTGTAAGCTGAAAGAGGCAGAAATAAAATTAGATAGGGAAAATATTAGAATATAAATTTTTATAGAATGAATAAAAATAATAGAAAGATTAGAAATTTACACTTTAGGCATTTTTTAATGTATGTTTAAATCAGGGGTGAAATGCTCCCGGTTTGGACCGGATCGCCCGATCCGGTAGCTATGGAGGCGGGTGGTTCGGAGAACCGGTAGCAAAAATCCCTGCCCCCCCCCATGCCCAGCTGAGCCGCACAATCATCAGAGGCTTTTTTTTTACTTTTAAAAGCATTTTTTCCGCCAACCGCTTTTGAAAAAAAAAAAAGGTGTTTTTTCTTTTAAATGCCTCTGACGATCCAAGCTGAGTTGCTTGATTGGCAGAAGCATTTAAAAGAAAAAAAGTCTCTGCCGATCAGGCAACTCAGCTGGGATCGTCAGAACCTTTTGAAAACATTTTTTTACAACCTCTTCGCTAAAGAGGTTGTAGAAAAAATGGTTTTAAAAGTAAAAAAAAAAAAATGGCCATGCCCACCCAGTCACATTACCCCCACCACCAAGCCACGCCCACATAACTGGTAGTAACAAATTTTATATTTCACCACTGGTTTAAATAATATAAGGATTACTTAAATTTGATAAATGTGATAGAGATTACTAACATTGTTAGTGTGAATTGGATTAATATGAATGATACACAGAAACAACTTTGCCTATACATAATAGAGAAGTGTTTAGATTGAACAAGAAACATATAGATGAAAGTAGAGGTAAAGATGAGGAATTAGGCATTTTTTGTTTATGTATGTTTAAACAATATAATGAGGATTACTTAAATTTGATGAATGTGATAGAGATTATTAATATTGTTACTGCGAATTGGATTAATATGAATGATACCCAGAACCAACTCTGTCCACACACAATATGGATGTATATTTAAAAAATAATAATTATATATATATAAAAAGAAAAAAACTAAACAAGTATGGTTTGTTTGGAAGGGTTGCCAGGAAAAAGCCTTTTCTCTGTAAAAAGAACATGGCAGTATGGGTCAGGTTTGCAAAGTTGCAGCTGAACAAATCAAGACTTCTGGAATACTGTCCTTTGGACAGATGAGACCAAACTGGAGATGTTTAGCCATAATGCACAGTGCTACGTTTGGCAAAAACCAAACACAACATATCAGCAGAAACATCTCACATCAACCATCAAGCACAATGATGGAGGGGGTGATGATTTGGGCTTGTTTTGCAGCCACAGGACCTGGGCATCTTGTGGTCGTTGAGTCAACCATGAACTCCTCTGTATATCAAAGTATTCTAGAGACAAATGTGAGGCCATCTGTCTGACAGCTAAAGCTTAGACAACATTGGATCATGCATTGCAACAGGACAATGATACTAGCAAATCTGAAACAGAATGGTTGAAAAAAGAATCAAGGAGTTGCAAAGTCAAAATCCAGACATCATCCAGATTGAATGATGTGCTGTGACGGGACCTCAAGAGAAGTGTGTATAAACGCCCACAAACCTCAATGAATTGAATGTTGTAAACAAAAGTGGGCCAAAAGTCTCCACAATGATGTGAGAGTCTGATGAAGTCATACAGAAAATGATTACTTCATGTTAATGCTGCTAAACTGATTCTATAAGCTATTTAATGATAAAGTATACTTAGTTTTTCACATATGATGTTATCTTTTTTACATGAGTTTTTATTTCTTGAGTTGGGTAATTTTGATTTTCTTAATTAGAAGATTATGATTTTATGAATGCTTGCTTACTTTTCCTGCCAACGTAGGATCCATTTTAGGCTCCAAAATCCATTCTGGGATCTAATGCTAAACTCCAGAAAGGCTCTGGAGCCTGGGGAGAGCAAAAAAAAAACAGGCCCCACCGGAAGTTGCCAAACGGGCTGTTTCCAGCCTCTGGAGGGCTGGAGTGGGTGTGGCCTGCATCCGGCCTGTGGGTGGTCAGTTTGACACCCCTGCTCTAGTGTCTCAACATCTTTTTTATAGTGTGGTGACCAAACCTGGATGCAGTATTCTAGTTGTGGTCTTACTAAGGATTTATAGTGGTATTAATACCTCACGTGATTTTGTCATTTCTTTCTTTGAAATTCAATCTTATAGCTGGATCATATCTATTTCCATCCTATCCTGATTTAGAATATGACAGATTTTAAGTCTATCAACTTGAAGGCTAAGACAGTGAATGCCCTGCATGGTGTTTACCAAATGGTTAGCAAAGATGACAAGACTTGAAATGCAATACATCTGTAGAATGAAGGTAGAATTGAGTTCTTATTGACCTCAAAGCATCTCATACACTGATTGGCAAAACATAAGTTGATAAAACAGAAGCAGAATACAAACTCAAAAGTAATTTGTGCAAATTGTATTTGTAAATGCAGAAAGCACTGTACAATTCCACTGCAGCTGAAAATTGATATTGTTAGAAAATTAGGTTTGTCTGTTGATTCAAAGCAAAAGTTATTTTGTGGGAATTTGGTAAATTGTTTTGTATTGCCATTAATCATCATCACCAGTTACCATCATAAGTATCATTATCAAAAGGCAGATTGACAATAATACATGGACACATAGAGAGAGCATATGTATACCTGGGTGTCAACACACACAAAATATGTACACAGAAACACAGACGTACTAAATTTCCCATTCAGATTTTAGCCTATATCATCTCAACGTGTGGATGACCTCGGTCGTGTTTGGCCTGCCCACCTCTCTGTTCTCGCCTCTAAATAGCCATATTCTAAAGTGGCACGAAGCAACACTCACCAAGGCCAAGCAACAAGCAACGTTTCAGTAGGGGGACCATTCCCAAAGCCATGGCTCCAGTAGAGGAATGAAGACTGTCGACGCCAAGGGACTTTATTTTAAGCAACAGGAATCTTTGACGAACAAATCATTCCAAAGAAAGACGGCGCTGCAGACGTCAAGGGGAGGACCAAATGCAATCAATTCAACCTCGTGAAAAGTCTCCACTAAGATACGAACTGTAGCAAACGAGCCCACGAGCCGTCCCTTCGCTCTTCTTCGAGGAAGGATCGCTAACTGTCACGAAGGGCACGTGGAAAGGGAGGGAGCTCTGATTGGATCGTTTCGGGGAGGGCAGAGGAAGAGCGAAGGAATAATGTTTGTTTTCCTTCTTCCTCCAGTGCCGTGCTGTTGCTACGAGGGGGAGCTTGTACCAGACTCCGTCGCAAGCGTAAGCAACATGCGTAACAGGAATATTTAAAATAAACTGAGTTGTGCTGGAGGAACCGTAGTTTTTTTGTCCTGTGGGTTCTACTTCTGAGACTGCCTGAAGATGGATTAACCAAGGCTCACGACTTCCGTGTTTTATTATTCATTCAAAAGATCAAAGTTGAAAGAGAGGAGTGCGGAGAGTCGCCAAGAGTCGAAAGCAAAAGACAATAAACTCTAATGTTATCCAGCCGCCAGTGTTGTATGACCGGGGATAGTATGACGGGCCGTTTCTCGGCGAGGAACGGGAAAGCCACCTTGACAGTTTTGTGTCTTTATCTCTGATACAGTACTCCCCCCCCCCCCCCCCCCGCGCGATGGAGAAAAGAGCAGTTTCTTATTTTTCTGAAGGCAAATAAGGTTTTTAAACTATTCTTGGTTTAATAAAACCCTTTAATAAAACACGCAACATTGTGCAGTTAAAAAAATATATTCTACCCATTCAGACAAAATTGTATACCTTTGAAAATACGCTATCCAAGATTTCTAAGTGTCCTGATTAATGCTAGAAGCATATCTACTTGAGCATCTCTAAATAAATGGCTTTCCAGCCTCTGGGATGTAATCGATCAGGTCCTAGTGATTTGAACTAGTCTAGAATGGATAGGTGTTCTCTTACTATTTTCTCGCCTATTTTAATTTGAATTTCTAGTCTGTTTTACAGCTATGTTTTTGTTAGGTTGGGCTTTTTTTTTTTTCTTTTTTTGTATGAAGACAGATGCAAGGAAAGAATTAAGCAGCTCTGCCTTCTCTCTGCTGCCCATCACTTCCTTGCCATCTTCTCCATTACCTGACCTGGGTTCACCTGAAATTTGTTATTCCCATTGAAATGCTCAGAACAGGGGTGAAAGGTAAAATTTGTTACTACCGGTTCTGTGGGCGTGGCTTGGTGGGGGGGGTTAATGTGACTGGGTGGTCGTGGCCAACTTTTTTTTTTTTTTTAACTTTTCAAAGCATTTTTTCTGCAAATGCAAAAAAATGCTTTGAAAAGCCTCTGCCGATCAGGAACACAGCTGGGATCATCAGAGCCTTTTCAAAGCATTTTTTTTACCACCTCTTCTGCTGAAGAGGTTGCAGAAAACAATGCTTTAAAAGTCTCTCTGATGATCCCAGCTGGGTTGCCTGATGGTCAGAGCCTTTTCAAAGCATTTTTTAAACCACCTCTTCCCCGGAAGAGTTTGCAGCAAAAAATGCTTTGAAAAGCCTCTGAGATGCCAGCTGAGCCGCGCGATCATCAGAGGCTTTTTTTTTACTTTTAAAAGCATTTTTCCTTTTTTTTATTTAAAAAGTTTTAACAATCATTACAACAATTTCCCCCCCCCCCATCCCCCCCTCCCCCCTCCGACCCCCCCCCCCCCCGGACTTCCCAGAGCAAAAACAGGGTATAGCATAACAAACATAAGCTAAAATAAGCTAACTTTCTGTGGTCTCCAAACTCCCCCTTGCTCTTTAACTCCCCTTTCAACTAACTAAACATATTCAAAAAGGAAATATAGATTTCATTCATAAGCTATTTGAAACTTTTTAGTCCAATATTTGTTTTGAATATAGTCTGTTGGAAGAAACATCCTTCTAGGTTCTGCTCCAAGTGGGGAAAACAGACACTGGAAACATGGAGACTGCTTGGAAAGATGGTTTAATGGTGGACAGGATCACATGGCTTGAGTTCCTGAACAGAAAAGGGGGCAGATACAGAAAATCCTCAGGTTTTTATGCTCTCCCTGGCTCTGCATTTCTTGGGGCCCCAAAAGAGTATCCTGATTGGTTGTCAGACTCCCAGGGGGTGGGGGCCTTGCTGGCTGATGGTCACATGTGCTTCCCAGGTCACATGTGGTGAGTTTCTGCTGCTATTGTGTAGAGGGCTAATCCTATCTTTGGCAATTCCTACTATGGCTCTGCCTGAAGGAGGTAGATCTTTGTTATGTAGAGTAGACTGGCCCAGGCCTTAATGGCCCATTGACAAAGGGTGGGGGGCAGGAAGGTGGGAGCTGCTTTGTCTGTAAAATATGCTTCTCATATTTCTCATCCAGGGAAATATAATATTCTGCCTTTTTCATATTTCCTAAAATATTTCACTCTTCCAGGAAAGGGGTGGGTGCTAACTTCCTACAGTCAATCCATCTTCTCCATTCCAATATATATCTTTCATTTGAATGGTCCTTCAAATACGCTGAAATTTTAGCCATCTCTGCTAAATTCACTACTTTTAGTGTCCATTCTTCAATGTCTTCCTTCTTCCAGTACTGTGCCACCAAGAGTTTGGCTGCTGTTATTAAATTTAAAATCAACTTAGTCTCTATAACAGTACAATCTGTAATTATGCCTAACAGAAAGAACTGTGGAGTAAATTTTATCTTCTTTTTGAGAATATTTTGAATAATCCACCATATTTTTATCCAAAATGCCTTAATTTTTTTACATGTCCACCATATATGATAATATGTGGCATCATCACATTCACATCTCCAACACTTAGGTTGCACACTTGATACATACAGGCTAGCTTTTTAGGATCTAGATGTCATCTATAAAACATTTTATAAAAATTCTCTCTTAAGTTTTGGGCTTGCGTGAACTTCACATTTCTAACCCATATTTTTTCCCATGTTTCCATCATTATTGGTTCTTCAATATTTTGTGCCCACTTTATCATACAGTCCTTAACTAACTCCGTTTCTGAATTTATTTCTAGCAACGCATTATACAACTTTTTTATATGCATTTGACTTTGATCTCTAATCTGTTTTACCAAGGTCTCCTCATTTTGGAGAAAACCAATTTTCTGATCTTCTCTCCATTTAGCTTGCAACTGTACATATTGAAACCATGTTCGAATTGTCCTTTCTTCTCTTAGTTGATTCAAAGATTTTAATTGTAGTATACCTCTTTCCTTGTTAAGAAGCTCTTTATATGTAATCACATCCTGCCTTTGCTCCACACTTATATTCTCTATCGAGTGTCTGGGTATTGCCCACAATGGTAACTTCTCGTTTAGTTTATACTTGTACTTTTTCCAGACACGCAATAGAGCATTCCTTAATATATGACTTTTAAAAGTCTTGTCCACTTTCTTATCATATAATAAATAAGCATGCCACCCGTAAACCAAATCATATCCCTCAATATTCAATATTCTTTCTTCTGTTAAATTCATCCAATCACTCATTGCTGATAGAACAGCTGCCTCATAATAAAGTCTTAAGTTAGGCATTTTGAGACCTCCTCTTTCACGTGTATCCTGCATTATTTTTTGTTTTATTCTCGGTCTCTTCCCTGCCCAAACAAAATTATTAATACCCTTCTGCCATATCTTCAAATTCTCATCTTTTTTAAGTATTGGTATCACTTGAAAAAGAAACAAAAACTTAGGCAAAACATTCATTTTTACTGCTGCTATTCTTCCTAGCAAGGATAATTGTAATTTTTTCCAGTTTTCCATCTCTTTCTGTATTTTTTGCCACAACATAATTATACTTAAATAATTTCGCATTTGATATCATAATATAGACCCCTAAATACTTAACTTTTTTTACAATTTCAAATCCTGTTAGTATTTCTAATTCTTCTTTTTGATTTATAGTCATATTTTTAGTTATTATCTTAGTTTTCCCTGCATTTATTTTAAATCCAGATACTTGTCCATATTGATTAATTATATCCATTAGACCTACAACCGACTGTAATGGTTGGGTTAAAGTAACAACCAAGTCGTCTGTGAATGCTCGTAATCTATAGTCATACTGCCTAATCTTAATTCCACTTATTTTGTCCGACTCACGTATCTTACTTAACAAAAATTCCAAAATCAAAATAAACAATAATGGAGACAAAGGACATCCTTGTCTTGTTCCTTTTTCTATATTAAAAGTATCTGTTAAATTACCATTAATTATTATTTGCGCTGTTTGTTTCTGATATATTGCCTTAATAGATTTTGTGAAATGTTCCCCAAACTGCATCTTTTCTATTATTTTCAATAAAAATTGCCAATTCAATCAATCAAATGTTTTCTCTGCATCAAGAAATATCAGCACCGCAGGGATTTGGTTGTTCTTCCCCAAATTCTCCAATAGATTAACAACTTGCCTTACATTACTCTTCATTTGTCTACCATTTATAAAACCAGTTTGATCATTATGAATCATTTGTTGCATGACTGTCATTAACCTATTTGCTAATATTTTAGCAAAAATCTTGTAATCTGTATTTAAGAGTGATATGGGCCTTTAATTTTTTGGCTGGGTGTGGTCTTGCTCCTCCTTTGGAATCAGAGAAATATAAACTGTCCTCCAAGATGGGGGTACATCTCCTCCAGATTGTATATTAGTAAATAATTCTTTAAGTGGTCCCATCATTTCTAACTGCAAATGTTTATAATAAGCAGCTGTCAAGCCATCCGTCCCAGGAGCTTTACCCACTTTCAACTGCTTAATTGCAGACATAATCTCCTCAGTGGTTATTGGTTGATTTAAACCCTCCCTTTGCTCTTTTGTAATTGTAGAAATATACTCTTTCTGTAGATATCTATCTATATCTGTACCTTGAATTTTATCACCAGCATACAACCTCGTATAAAATTCTAAAAATGCTTTTTTAATCATATTTTGCTGATAAACCTCTTTACCTTTATATTCTATTTTCTCTATGGTCCGTGACTTTTGTTTTTTCCTTAACAAATATGCTAACCACCTCCCTGGTTTATTAGCATTACAAAAAGTATTATGTTTAGCATATTGCAAATTAGTTGCGACCTGATCTGCCATTAACATATTATATTGCCCTCGCAATAAATTAATTGCCTCTTTTATTTTCTTATCTACTGGATTCAATATCAAAGCTTGTTCTTTTTTTCTGATTTCCTCTTCTAAATCGAACTTCCGGTGGCACCGCAGGTGCCGAGGACGCTCTTTTCTTGAGCGTCAGCCCCGCGATCTCGTAAAGCCGCTAGAACAGTGCAAATCAGCTATCTAGCGGCTTGAAAACTTTCTCCCCGGGAAAAGGGGAGGAAGAGAGCAGACGGGCATAGGTAGAGCTCCCCAAGGAGCCCCAGGAACA